CTCGTTCATCAATCCAATAAGATGCTATTAGGGTGATTGGTGTACTTTATTTTTGCAGAAATTATCAAGAACCATATTGATAAAAGATGACAAAGGCAAAGAAGCCCCAGCATTAGATTTATTTGCCCATGTCATAAGATACCTGAAGGGTCACTTGTTAGCTGCATTGGAAACTAAAGGCACAACAGTAAACAATAAAGACATTCACTGGGTCTTAACTGTACCAGCTATCTGGACAGATTCAGCCAAACAATTCATGAGGGAGGCTGCCAATAAGGTAAACACATGTATACCATACTGCTGCACTTGTTCTCAAATGACCAAATAAATATCAAATATGTTAACAGCTGGGTTTGACATTAAGGCACGTCTGACCGACTGAGTCTGGTAAAAGATGGGTCCAGTCGGGTAAAATGCCTGTGTACTAGACTGACTGGTCGTGTAAGAAAAATAAATGAACTTATTATATATTTTGAAATGAATCACTTTTTGTCAATGAAAAAATAAAATTAAAATGTTTCAGATTTTTTGATTTGAACATATTTTATTATGTAAAATACATAAATGGATTGGGCAGCAGGCATAGCCTATATAAGCCCTCTCCATTTACCATTTGACTTGTAGCACACTGTCTGGGAGATGTTCTTTTACTAGTCTCTTTAACATAAACCCCGCTATTAGCGTTTGATATGCTGTAATCGGACGATTTATTAATTGGATACATAAAATTTTCTCCATTGGCAGCTTTGGAGGAGGTTTTGGTGTCGCACTTCTGTTTCTCCTTATCTGATTGGTTAGATATTTAAACTGTATTACAATTAACCAATCAGATAATAAAATGTCCTTATTAAAATATGGAGTCTAATCATCTGCACAGAAAAAAGAATTATCACCACTGTGTACTCTAAATATTTTTTCTCAAGTTTGGTCAGGGCTAGTGGTTAAAGGGTCAGGGTTTGTAAAAACTTGCCAGAGTAGCCCAACTGGTCTAGTATTCCAAAAGCTTAATGTCAAACCCTGTTAATAATATTGATTGAATATTTAGACTTTGTGACTGAAATAGTGTCTCAATTAGTATATTGAAGGTTTAATTTTTGGGGGGTGGGATGGGATGGGGTGCTTAAACCTACTGTTGAACAAATTTACATCATTTATTCCTTTTTGCCAAAATATACATTACGTTTTTTTTTTAAATTATATAGATATATAACGCATTATCATTTAGCATTTGAATTTCTATGTTTAAAGAAATGCCTAAAAATTTATTTTTCATCAATATCTATTAGGCTGGTATTGAGACAGAACAGCTGTCCATTTGTCTGGAGCCCGAGGCTGCCTCCCTGTACTGTCAACACCTTCCCACCACTAAGTTGATGGGGAACCCCGGTACACAGTCTTTCCTATCCTCCAGTTCAGGAACAAAGTACATGATCATCGACTTAGGAGGTATAAAAAGATCATTTGCAATATACATATAGACATTGCTAAGGATATTGAGTCTTTGAGACTATTTTTGGTGACTTTTTTTTTATCTTAACAAAATTTCTTTACCCAACTGTGTGATTCATTGCAAACCTTTTAAGGTTGAACAAATATTTAAAAAAAACTACATAAGTCCCCTTACAATGTAAAACCAAACATTGACAAAGCTAAATTTTGTCTTACAGGTGGCACAGCAGACATAACTATTCACCAAAAACAACCAGACGGGACTCTGAAGGAGCTGCACAGACCTACTGGTGGGCCCTGGGGAGGGACAAAAGTGGACGAAGCATTCCATCAGATGTTGATCCGAATCGTCAGTGGGCCCTGCTTTAAGAAATTCAAGGACGATTATAAAGCAGATGATTTAGACATCCACAGGGAACTGGAGACCAAGAAAAGGACGATAAAACCGGAATCCGAGAGCAAAATTACCATTAAGCTTCCAGTGTCCCTTGTGCAAACCTTTGAAGAAGAAACGTCCGAAAAAATCAAAGAGGTGATACAGCAGATGCAGTATGCTGGTAAAATGACCTGGCAGACGGATAAATTGAGAATGGAGGCAGGTTTGTTTAAAGATTTGTTTATGGAGCCTGCTAACATGCTCGTGGAACACCTTCAGGAATTGATGACGAAAGAAAATCTCACAGATATATCAACACTTCTGATGGTCGGTGGGTTTTCTGAATCACCCATGATGCTGGACGCAGTCATGAAGGCTTTTCCAAAACAGAAGGTGATAGTCCCAGAGGATGCAGGTTTGGCTGTATTGAAAGGAGCCGTTCTGTTTGGCCACAAACCTCAAGCTATCACGATACGTAAAGCCAGGTATACCTATGGAATTAATATTTCCCCACCGTTTGTGAAGGGAGACCATTCCCCAACGAGAAAGGTTACCATAGATGGTGTAGATCGCGTGAAAGACGTTTTCAAGAAATACATCCAGTGTGATCAAGATATCCGTGTTGGAGAAGCTGTCAGTGGGCGCCATGTTACTATAAAAAGCAACCAATCAGAAATGCTGCTGAAGATTTTCGCTTCAGAAGATCCAAATCCAAAATATGTGACTGATAAATCTTGTGAATATCTAGGAAAAGTTGTAGTAAAATTGCCAGAAGCTAAAGAAAGACTTAAGGTTGATGTGAAGATGATTTTTGGAGAGACTGAATTGATGGTGGAAGCAAAAGAATCCACTAGTGGGAAAGTCTATTCCTCTTATTTTGACTTTTTGTAGCAAAACTAATATTAATTGTACATGTACCTATAAAATTATGGTGACTTGATTGAATGTTTCAAACCTGCAAATGAATATTTTTATCTGTGAATTCCACGATATGCTAATAAATAATACAATATTCAGCATGCTCTGTTTTGTTATACTATTTGGAATATAGGTTGAGAAATAGGATTGCTAGTTGTAATGGTACATACAGTTTACCTGCTAAGCATGTCCATTAGCGGAGAGGAAGATTTCAATGATGGAGAGTATTTATACTGAATGACCAACCTAGCCCCTACCTTGGATCCTGAACTTATAATAGAGTGACCATAAAGTCGCAATTCACCAAGGTGGTAAAATTTTTGAAAATTGCATTATTTTTTATGGTTGTGGCAAAGCCAATCAAGCAGATAGGAAGAACTTAAGAAATAATTATATCTTTTGTCCCCGTTTACATATAGATTAGCTGAAAAACTGTAGCTCTCCGAAAAGAATATTTTGACCGACCGGTCTGTCGCTACATTTTTTCGGAGAGCTACAATTCTGCAGCTACCTAATGTATTATACATGTATAGATAACATGTTTCAAAACTGGTTCGGCGTTTCCAAAGTAGCTGGGAAGATCAAAACTTTACGGACGCTACATGACACTCGACAGAGGCGTAGTCACAAACTTAAAAGTTTCATTTAATTCTTTGACAAGCAAAAAAAAAAAAAAAAAAAAAAAAAAAATTAAAAGTGGGGGGGGGGGGGCTCAAAAAAAAAAAAAAAAATTATTTTACAAGCAAAAAAAAAAAAAAAAAAAAAAAAAAATTTAAAATTACGAAAATCCAAAATACGGGGGGGGGGGGGGGGGGGGGGGGGGGAGTGGCCAACTTTTTTTTCAAAGGCAAGTTACTTTCAATTTCAATTTTTCTACACAATGTTATTATACAACTATGTATAAATATTATTTCAAAATAGCTGTGATTCTGTTCTTCATTAAAAAGTGGGGGGCACAGAATATTTGTTACCCCCCCCCATTGAAAGTGGGGGGGGGGGGGGCTAGCACCCCCCGCTGCCCCCCCCCCCTGTGACTACGCCTATTACATTTGACAGATGTTTCTTTTAATATTATACCCCCTCCCCCCTTGAAAAATGGGATGATATATACTATATAGTGATCGGGATGTCCGTCCGTCTGTTCGTCCGCCCGTCTGTTACGCTCTGGGGTACCTATCTCTTAATCCGCAACTCCTCCTTTACCAGTGATTAAAATTTAACCAGACTTTCACGGAATCTTTGTTACATAATGCCACTGTGAGCTCTTATTTTACTTTTTTTATCTGACACATTATGGAACACAGCGTCGTTTTTGAAAGTAACAAAACATAGAAAAAATTTTTTTACTTACATAAAAAAAAGTTTACAAAAACTAAAAAAAAAAAAAAAAGGGGGGGAAAGTTGCCCCAAATCCTTTTTCGTGGGGGTGGGGGTGGGGGGGGGGGGTGTTAGGTATACTTTTTTTTCAGTGTCAACTACTTTTAGCACCAATTCCAATGCTATATTTTCGGCACATCACTAAAAGTGGAGGGGCCAACCAGGCTTTCAATTAACATTTCCTATAGTATAAGTAAGGTTGGGAAAAAAGTGTGTGGGGGGGCCACCCCCCCCCATGTTGCTATGCCCCTGGCCATTATAATTAACATGTATATATCATAAAAACACTGATGGATTCCCCCCTATCTTTGGACAGAATCTGTACGATAAAACGCTTTATTTAGTTATTCTTTCCTTAGGAGAAATCTTAAATACGTATAGGATTAAAATACGTTTTTAAAGAGGATTTTAAGAGTTTTAAGAATTTACAAAGGAGTGTATATATCTTCCTCATTTTCTGACCCAAATAAAAAGGGGAAATATAACTTAAAAAGAAAGTTTAACATTAAGTTCCTGTGTATGTAAGCTTTTTAACATCAGTATTAAAATTGTGGTAAAAAGATTTGACTATCAGTTACATTATATTATGCAGATACATGTAGATATTTAATTTTAATACATGTATATATTACAGTCGGACTATGATACATGTATCTTGAGTAAATACTAGTAATTAAATATTTACTTTGAGTTTTTTTTCTCGAAAAATAGAGAATTTAGAGCACATAGATGACGAATGCAAATGATATATTACGTTTTAAATAATAATTCTCTCTCTCTCTCTCTCTCTCTCTCTCTCTCTCTCTCTCTCTCTCTCTCTGAAAGCATCTATAGATCCGCCCATCCATCATGTCCATATAGTTATAACACTGCACACTTCCGCTTTCGGTTTACATAGTAAACAAAATGTCTAGTAAGGACACAGAGGGCTTAATAAAATCAATGCTTGAAGATGAAACCTTACTCAAGAAACATCGCCAGAAAATCAGTCCAACAGTGATTCAGAGCGCACGGGACTTGTATGATTTATTGGCGGGGAAAACTCATCAGAAATTGACAAAGTCACTTCCCGCACAGAAGCCACCTGATCAAGATTTTAATATGAAGGTAAGTATGGTCATCTATAATATGTTTATTCACCAATCAAGGGCCCTCATTTATGTATAGGTATACTAGTGTACTGTGCAGTTTGCACATTTATAAAAAGACTATGTTTTTTTTCTATTTTTATGGTGTCCCGATAGGGCCATTGCAAAAGTGTATTTAGCGCGTTATAAACAACACGCAAGCGCATTAAGGTATTTAAATGTATAAAGACCATATTTTGTACCTAATAAATGACTGGTCCGATATATATTCATGGTAGTATTTTGAAGAGGTTATCAAATAGAAATGCTCCACCAAAGGAATTTACAAAATTTTGATTATTGTCCAATCAATTTCACCTTCAATTTTACATTGAAGTCCATGGACAGCGCATGTTTTTATAAGATATTCTAAAAAGTAATTTGAATTTCAAATAAATCTCTTGGTGAATATATGCATAAACTCCCTCCTTATTCAAATATGAAATAAAATGAGTTATCTACCGAAGAAATTTTGAGAAATATTTTTTTTTTATTTTCACCAAGGGCAGATAACTCTTTAAAAACTTTTAATGTGCAAAATGATTGTCCCCTTACATGTTATCAGTCTTGTAATTTGGTTCATGTCACTTTTATCGTTATCTAGCCGTGTGTTTTTAACTAGTTTAAAATTATTTAAAATCGTTCAAAATCCCTTCATTTAAGAAATAATTTATCATTTTTGAGTGTCATTGGGATATGACATGAATTAAGTCGGTCACGTGATCAAATTCTATAACGCCCGAAAGGCGTTATAGTAGATTTGATCACGCACCGACTTCATGTCATATCCCATTGACACTCTAAAAATGATATCTTATTTCTTATATTTCTATTCACATTACAAAGACAAAATGCTCTTTTTAGACTTTGTTATTGAATGCAAAATAACATATATAAATACGACGTCATATGAAGTCACAGTTAAGACTTTCCAAATGTCTCGTGCAGTTTGCTAAATGCTTTCCATATGCAAGAAAGTCTGATCATGTGACCGACTGCATGTCATTGAAAATTGAATTTTATTTTTTTAGTATTGTCATCTAAGGAAAGACATTGGCAAATGTAAATATTATACATTGAATACCTTAATGACAATGCGCTAGTGCGTTAATGACAACGAGTTGTTTGTTAGTGCGAAGTCGTGTTGTGAACATTAAAGCGCTTGCATGTTGTATTCTAACAACACGCAAGCGCATTAATGTCAACGCCCCAGCGCGTTTATGACAATGCGCTATCGCGTTAATGACAAAGAATTGTGTGTTAGCGCAAAGTCGTGTTGTGAACATTAAGTTAACGCGCTTGCGCGTTGTCATTAATGCGCTTGCGTGTTAGAATAAATATTAATACGCACGTGCGTTAATGTTCACAACACTACTTCGCGCTAACACACAATTCGTTGTCATTAACGCGTAAGCGCGTTGTCATTAATGCGCTTGCATGTTGTTTCTAACAATGCGCTTGCGCGTTGTTTCTAATGCGCTAATTATAAACTTTTGCAATGGCTCTATCGGGACACCATAATTTTTTTATTTTCTTTTGGTGTGCATATCATATGATGTGTGTCTTATTTTAAGCACCCGAATTTAGGGCACGTGATATAAGGATTAAACACACAACTTAGAAAGATTTATATACAATGATTATGTAATTTAAATAGGAAAAAATAATGCCAAAATATGCAGTCTGTTGTTTATTATCTATGCACTAAACCAAAACATTCTTCAATCTTCTTTAAACTTTGAAATATTTTTGCATTGATTATAAGATTTAAATATAGTTCTTTGTTTTGGAGAGTCAACTATCTCATATTTCTTTTCTATATACTTTTAAAATATATCAAACACAACATCAGACTGATTTTAATTCATTTAAGGGAGCCGACCGGTGTTTTATTGTGTGAAAAGTATACAATAGAGACACTCTTTATAGAAATGCCTAGCTCTATTCTTAATTTTAAAGAAATAAAAAAAAAAAATTACTGACACTCGAGAAACTATACATATAGTATTAGGTCTATAGGAAGAAATTTAAATTTGATGTCACCCGAAGAAAGGTATTGTCGCAAGGAATACACCTGTGAAATATGAAAACCATAGCCACACCCACTCAAAAATTATGGTTATGTGGACAAACAGACAGACGGACGGACAGGCAAAAACTATATACCTCCGAATTTTTCAAGCACGTGTGTACCAGTGTATAAATGTTAGAATTTTAAATAAATTTCTTTGTTAGTTCAAGATAGAGAAGAAAGAAATATCCGATAATCAGGAAAAATTTGCTGAACTTCAAAGTGTTATTATGACATGCAAAGGCGAATCTAGTAAAGAAATGAAAGAATTTGAGTCGCTGATGTCGGCTTACAACATTTGGCAGGTAAAGTTTATCTGTAATGAAAAGCAAACTCTTATCATAGCATTTTAAAAGAGTCAAGAAACCAAAAATATCATGGCAAGGTTTGCCTGATTTTCTAACTTCAATATCATAACAGGCATACGAATAAAGCGTACAGTATTCGATCTGATTCAACCATGTCTTTAAATGTGAATGTTTTAAAGAGAATATTTCCAAATATTACCAAAATTTTTTTTTAATGCATCAATTTTTTACCAATTTAAAACAATTAATTTTTATCCTTTTATTGAAAAACATTCTCCAACTCATCTGATCGCCATTTTTTTTACATTCAGTCTTTGGGACAAATTTATTCACGACCACAGAAGTCTAACGAAGGCCCAATGAAAAGGGGGTCCAAAAGATACAGTGGAAAAAGACTGAGTATGACAGTCAGGGAATCAAGACATATCCCCGAAGTATATCATCACAGCTTTCAAAAAGTTACACCTATACCGCCGAAAGAGTCCGAAGAATTGAAAAATATTAAACTCGAAAACGAAAAGCTTAAAGCTCAAGTCGAGGAATTAACCACAAGGTTAGTTTTTTATATTTGCTGCTAAGATAAGGTTTTGATGACATACTAATGAAATAAAATCATTTACTTGATGTTGTAAATGCGGTACCCAGAATACAAATAAACGTACTTTCAGGTAGGTATTTAGTTAGTTCTGGTTTATTGCGAGCAGGACCATTACAACACTGCGTAGTAACCTTTAAATGTGTCACACATACAATTATTGTCAAACTGAAAAACGACATGTTTTCAAATTCTTTGCTAAATTAAAAATTTTATTTTCCTTAATTCAAATTAATAAAAACACTAACGTTGGGAAGTAAATGCTACTTATGCTGGAATTCCACTGTCCAAATTTCCCTCTTAGGAATATTATTGTGACATTTGGGCAGTTAATTAATTCACCAGTATACTTACAAAGAACAAGGAAATGTCTATTTTACCTTGGCTTACGCCCTTGAGTCAACAAAATAGCGTAAATTATGCATCTTAGAGGGAATATAAAAAAGTTCAAATATTGGCATATAAAAGTTTTTGTATAAACTTGAATACATGTATGATGTAAGTTGATTCAAGTATGATTAATTATATTCATTGGGGATAATTTTTCAAATACAAATGAAATAAAGAAGGATGATATAATTTTTTTTATATAATTCTCGATGTTTGATAAAGAAGTTCTTTGAATTTCCGCTACTCCTCCAACTTTTTTAACAGACATTAATCTTTATCCATATCTTTATAAGTTTATTTATACATAATCACATTCATTCAATTTTATTGTAAAGTTAATTTTCCCTCCTTGTTTTGACTTCCTTTCCTGTGACAGGCTGAGCAAAATTGCGAGCGATAAACTCACAGACGGAAACCCAAACTTTGCCGATCTGAGCGATAGGAATAGGCCGACAAAAATAGGGGAGAAGTTCGGCTTAGTGTATGACGAGGAGTGGAGCGAGGCTTTTGAGGAAATAAAAACAAACCAGAAGAAAGATGATGTGGAGACATACAACATCTTAATGCAAATTGTGAAGGTAAATCTTCAGTTCATCTGTATGGATCTTCAACATTTTACGGACAAGAGGGGATAAATGGTATCTCTGATGTGTATTGTAACACACTTAAACAAAAATCGAAAGAACTATTTTGTAACACGACTAAATTCGTCGTCAGTTCAGATAGATCTATTCTTGTTGGCTTCAGAAGGCACAATACATGTAAAAAAATCTTAATCGATTAAATTATGAATTTACTTTATACTAAAATTGTAAACTAGACAATCTTCTGATCCTGTTGTTCAGATTGGAATAAAGTTCTGTCAAGAAGTGGCGAAATCCCAAATGTCTTTTATCGAAGCAGGAATGCGCGAACCAATGTTGCGTCCGAAATGGTGCAGCAGTGGAAAGGTAAGTTTTCTGAATAATTTCAGTTTAGTTTTTATGGTCGTGTGTATCGCCAAGGTGTCCACTTTCAATATTTTCTCCTGGATAAGATGTTTATTCTTAAGTATGCACTCTGTTTATTAGGTAGAACAATCAATTTTTTCAACAATAAAAGTAAACATTTTTGGTGCATAAATTTTCTGGAATTTTGACTTTATGAAGTATTAAGTTTATGAGTATTTAGGAATATTCCGTGGAAGAGATGGAGGCAAATGCCAGCTTTACAGCCTCATTGAAGAAGTTCGCTAAAGACTTCCGTAAAACTACATCAACTTCGTCAATCAGCCCGCTGTGTACGGTACGTATATTTGTCCCGATGAAAATAAGCAACCATTTCCCTGTTTTTAAAAAAAGATATGATACCTTTGTACACGTATTTTGTATAGTATCCTTAACTCCAACACAATCATTGATAAGAAACTGTTCCTCATTTTACGTTAATTGCCTTCGAATAGTTGATAACATTTTCAAGAAAACTGCCTTTTTTCTTGCTATGTAAACTTCGCTTTTATGAATTTTTAGCTGTTTATTAGCAAATTTTTATGAATACAAAAAAAGCGTTACAGTTTAAGATTTTTTAAATATTTGAGTTAAATGTACTTGTTAGCGAAATGCTTTTAATTTTCTTTGAAATCGTCCATGTCATATACAGCTTTTAATACTGGTAGATATTTAAAGATGCCAAACTCAAAGAAATTATCGAATGGGATGTGTACAAGATGGACAACTTGAACATTTACATTGACGCATGCATCGAATGCTTATGGTTAATGTGTGTGCAAGATCCTCCGATGCACATTCTGTGGTTAGACAAGGGCAACACCTATGATCCTGCTTGTTTTAATATGTTTATGACGAAAGGAAAAGAAGTGGAGTATACCGTGTGGCCAGCTGTTTTCTTGTACAAAGAGGGACCATTGATATCTAAAGGATATGTCAAAGTCAAATAACATGTAAAATGCTAATAATGAGAAAAGATAAAAATGCAGCATTAGCCAAATCAAAAAAGATACTTTTTATTGAAAATATATTTATTTTATTGAATCTGAATTCATATAAGATTTAATGATAGAAAACAACAGTTAGTTGCATATGGTTGTTGAATTTCGACTGGTTATTAGTTCATTCGTAGAGGTTTTCTGATCAGTTATTTCTTCCTCGATCTCTCTGACCACCTGAATTTTAATCAGTTATTTAAAGTAATATACGCCGTATGGATGCCGATTTGTATGTGAAACAAAATGATTAAATGATTTGAAACACATAAAGTGTAATGAAAAATAATATTTCCACAAAATTTAACTATAAAACTCGTTGTAATAACAGAACAATAAAGCATATACAGCAGTTAATTCTTGTTCATGAATATTTAAAAAGGAAGTGCGTAAACAGTAGGAAATTATAGAACGTATGTGTACAAGATGGACAACTTGCATTTACAACGATTATTAATAAAAGGTTTATGGTTAATGTGTGTGGTTGATACTGATTACATTTAAAGATAAGTTATATTAATAGTAACACGCCATCCATGTTCATTTCATTTCATTTATTTATTTCGCTCACACCAACATCAGTGGTACATGAGGTACAATATATAAATTAGTCGTCATAATTGTAAGAAAAATAATAAATATAATTATGATACAATAGCATAAATGATAGGCATAACATATGTGCAAAGTATAGCTATAAACATACAATGAAATTAGAATAATATAAAAATGAGGGTATTAGCAAATGTTGTCAAAAAAATAATTATTGAAATATATTTGTTTTACTGTTTGTTTATCAATTCAAAAGTGAGATGCCCAAATGGTGGATTTACTTAAAAATAACATTATTTCCTTGCAGGATAATAAATAATTATAATTTGATAACTTTATAACGAATTTTATTTAAATGGTGTAATTTACAGCATTTTCGTAACTTTTATTGGTAAACAAAATATATAAATTTCCAGCCGTATTTTAAAATAACGCACGTTATAGCATATATTACTTTAAGCTATTCCCTTTAACCAACAACTAGATTAATTTCTATTAAAATAATAAAAAAAAGCACTTGGATGAAGGAATGTAAGCTTGTTGATACAAAGGACATGTATATCAATATGTCCTGACAGTCATGTAAAAATCTGTTGAAAATTACTTCTTCAAAATTATTTAAAACCTTAACCTGGGATAGGTACAGCCATAATTGGAGAGGAGGTGGAATGTAGATATTAAAAGTAAAGATGAAAATCTGTTTTCTTCTGTTGTTCCACTGTGCATCAAATTGATAAGCATTGGACTCTTTTTCAGCATATTCTCTGAAACTGCCGAACCAATTTCAACCAATATACCGGTACTTGGTTTATATTTGTGAGGGGATTAATCTAAATAAAAAATAACGACTTCCTAGGTACTTGTCCCTTTGGGCTTGGTCTTAAATCATTAATTTTAAAAATAATTTTCTTACCTACTGTAAATCACTTTTTATTCGCGAGAACTTTATTTTCGCGTTATTACGCGAGTCAGTGTGCTCGCGAAAATTTAATTCTCGCCTATAATAGTATTCCTTATGATTATATAGACCATCCACAATTCTTTTGTCTCGCTAAAAATACTTTTGCTAAAGTGTCGCGAAAATTTAGTGATCTACAGTACTTGATATTGAGCAGTCAACCCTTTGGCATGATTGTTTTAGCATTGCACTCTTTACCAAAACTGTTAAATTTATGATACAAGATTCAATAATTCTATAATTAGATAGAGGCTCTATAAAAACAGTGAAGATGCAAATAAGTCTTTTGAAAATCTTTTTCTCTTCCTGTATATTAAGCTACTAATTGCATGAATATGTAGAGCAAAATTTTTTCAAAATTATCAATAAAACCCGAATTTGCATGATCAAGGGTTCTGGAATTAGAAAAGGCTCTTATTAGTAATGATTTAGCAGACATAAACTTAGTGCATTATTATGATTAGCAATGGTACCTATTTTAAATTTATCAAATTATGGCCTTTGATTCAGTTATTATGATGTAAGGGCGATGCTGTGTTGGTCATACAGTGGAAATCCATTACCAAGTAATTCTTTAAATAGCCTAAGAGTATTCTGCGAATACATGTGTTGTGTTATATTCAAAAACACAAGGGCCTGTTTGTATATGACAATTATGATGGCACTAAAGTTTTGCAATACTCAAAGACTTGTTTCGGTCTTCAACTCGACAGTCATATAGATATATCGACGAAGTATTGTCAATTAACAATGGTAATTACCATTCTTATTTCGATACGATATATCCTGGTGAGCTTGAGTTAAAGATACCAAAATGTTTGACACATCTGTTTCATATTTGGATATGTTACTTGATAAAGACGTTAATGGTAATCTTAAAACCAAGCTCTATGATAAACGTGATGACTTTAACTTTTCTATCATCTACCTCCCTAACTTATGCAGCAATATACATGCACCCTCATCACATGCATAAGGAGTTTATATATCTCATTTGAATCGATACGAAAGAGTATGCTCTATGTATAAACAATTTCTAAAATGAGGTAAATTATTGACAAACAAGTTGATGAAACAGATTTTAATCAATCTCGTTTAAAAGCATCATTTTGTAAGTTCTATGGTCGATACAACGACCTTGTCAGCAAATGCAATTTATCTTTGAGTCAAATGCTGAATAACGTTTTTCATACTAATTCTAAGTCCATTATTTATTAATTGAATATTGATGATGTCTTTTCGATTATTTCCCGATCATGACAAGCTAGGTGCACACGGCGGATGTGACCGGTCGGCAGGGGATGCTCACTCCTCCATGGTACCTGATCCATTCTCTGATGTTTTAGAGGTCATTGTTTGCTATGCTCCTATTTTATATTGGTTTTTTTGTACTTTTGATTTTGAAAACAGTTCGTTATCTCCATATGCTTAATCAAATTATGGTCAGATGTCTGGATCAAGGATGAGGTTCCTTTAATAGAGTTTTTAATTTTACGAAAATAATCTCAACTACATGTACATAGTTGCTTGAGAATATCGTTTTGCAAAAATATCTGCATATTTCTTTGTCAGTAAGATTTGTTAACTCTTGTGAGCGAAGTGGTTCTTAGACTGTTTTTTATATAATAATTAATACTATGCATAAATAAAAAAAAAACTTATATTAAGTTAAGTATGCACTAATCTGTTGATTCTTTTTTTTCTAGAGCATTAATATTATTAATTAAAATACATGATCGGGCATACTGTGAGGAAAAGTCGGTCATTAATTTCATTTTCTTTGACCAACAGAATAAACCATAATACCATTTCTTTATACATATGTAATATAACATTACTTTTTTTTAAATGTTTTCTTACAATATATGCATATACGCTACGTGCCTAGATAGTACTCATTGGATTGGCATATTTAAAGGTGAAATGTACATAGCATAAGACTGTTTGGATAATTTACGTTTCATATTTCTTGTATTTAAAAAAAAATATGCGTCTTCCAAGATAGTGTGTAAGCTTGCATATTCATTGCTTAAAATCTAAACTTATTTGCACTTATGTTCGATTATTTTTTATTTATGCATTGTTTTTGTTTTTAGATAAAAAGTTTTAATAAAAAATGTGTTGCTCGTATCCTTTTTTTACTTTGTTAATATATAAATATTGCATGTAGTTGAGTGTAACTTTGAAAATTTTCACCCCAAGAAAACCATGGTCACGGAGTCTTATTTTATTGGAACAATACGAAGTCACGGAATTGGAAGCAGAGAAAACGCAGACCTCTAAAACTGAATGCCAGGCCCCGGGATCATGAAGCATCTTATGCTTAAGTCAAAAAATGCCTTAGATGCTGAAATTTTTAAGAGGTCATGCAACCTGAAATGAAAATGCTTTCCGATTTTGTATCATCAGCCTGCTGTTGCATGCAAATTATGAGTTTCCTTTAACAAGTTTTAAAGATTTTATAGATAATTGAAATTTTGTCTGTTTCATGATCCCGGGGCCAGAAGTTCGGGCACCACGGAGGAGTAAGCACCCTCTGTCGACCAGTCACACTCGCCGTGGGTTCCCTTGTCATGATCGTGAAAACAGAAAAAAAATATGTCGACAATTCAGCGTGAATATACATGTAAAGGTCTAAAAATTTGTATGAAAAACGTTAGCCAACATTTGAATTGACGATAAATTCTATCGCCTAACAAGATTATTGTATCGACCATAAAATTTGGTCAAATTTGACTTTAAATATCCGTGTATCATTAACATATTTATCAATAGTTTGACTTGTTTTAGAAGTTGTTTTTACGTTGAGCTTGCTCTTGCTTATCAAATCGACTGAAAGACACAATCTTCATATGCAGGTGATAATAACAGATTGCTGCATAAATAAGGAAAGTCAAGGAAACAAAAGAAATCACATTTAGCATCAATCCCATTAGTTTTAAGATTTCATAAACAAAATTTTATATACATGTATAGAGCAAAGTACATGGAAACGATGTACAATGTAAACTATTAAGGACGGCATTGAGGTTCGTGTTCTTAATATCAATTTCTTATCTTAAACTTAAAAAAAAAATTTTTTTCATCAAAAGTAGATTGTTATAATACTATAATTTCCATGAGCCAGTAACAGTATCTGTGTTCCTGCCTATAAGTCTTTTTCACACAATATAGCATGGTTGTAGTTTGCATGAACATCGTTCCATTTGTGTGTGTTCATATCGATGCAGATCGTGGGATAATTCCTGTCTGGTTGCCCGGTACCCCAGTAGAAGGAGCTGATCACCCTCCCATCTGAAAATCTCCATATCCCTCCAGAGCTCAATGCGTCAATGCGGAAATTACTTACACCAGCTTTAAAAACAATGAAAACATGCTTTAAAAATACTTTTTTTTAAAATTGCAATAAAAAGAAAGAAAAAACCCAAACAATTGAAATACTGTATACAGTTTCAAATTCTCAAAAACGATACACTAAAAAATATATACAGTTTTAAATACTTTTTTAAAAAGTCAAATACAGAGTATACAATTAACAAGAGGCCCAGGGGCCACAGTGCTCACCTGAGCACATCAGCTAGGAAAATGCACATATCATGATTTGGACAAACTTGAATCTACTCTGCCTGAGGATAATTCTACATAAATATTACTAATCATGGCTTTGAAGTACTTGAAAAGAAGATTTTAAAAGGATTCCCTATATATTTCTATGAGAATTAATTTTTGGTCGGCCATTTTGGCCCCACCCTACCCCCGGAGGTCACGATTTGAACAAATTTGAATCTACACTACATGAGGATAATTTCCAATGAGTTTCATTTTTCCTGTCTAAATGGTTCTTGAGAAGAAAATTTTTAAAGATTTATCCTATATATACTACTAGATAAAGCTTTGATCAGCCATTTTGGCCCCACCCTACCCCCAGGGGTCATGATTTGAACAAACTTGAATCTACACCATCTGAGAATGAATCCATATGAATTTCATCTTACCTGGCCCAGTGGTTCTTGAGAAGAATATTTATAAAGATTTTTCCTATATTTCCTATGTAAAACTTTGATCAGCCATTTTGGCCCCACCCTACCCCAGAGGGGTCATGATTAGAATAAACTTGAATCTACACCATCTGAGGATGATTCCACATGAGTTTGATCTTTCCTGGCCCTGTGATTCTTGAGAAGAAGATTTTAAAAGATTTTTCCTATACTATATACTATGTAAAACTTTGATTGGCCATTTTGGCCCCACCCTACCCCGGGGGTTATGATTTGAACAAAATTGAATCTACATCATCTGAGGATGATTCCACATGAGTTTCATCTTTCCTGGCCCAGTGGTTCTTGAGAAAAAGATTTTTAAAGATTTTTCCTATATATTCCTATGTAAAACTTTGTTCGGCCATTCTGGCCCCACCCTACCCCCAGGGGTCATGATTTGAACAAACTTGAATCTACACTACTCGAGTATCTGAGGATGATTCCACATGAGTTTCATCTTTCCTGGCCCTGTGATTCCTGAGAAGAAGATTTTTGAAGAGTTAATTTTCCTATATTTCCTATGTAAAAGTTTGATTGGCAATTTTGGCCCCACCCTACCCCCGGGGGTCATGAAATGAACAAAATTGAATCTACACTACCTGAGGATGATTCCACATGAGTTTCATCTTTCCTGGCCCAGTGGTTCTTGAGATTTTTTTTAAAAATGGCATCAATTTTTCTCATTCATAATTATCTCCCCTTGGAAAAGGGCGTGGCCATTCATTTGAACAAACTTGAATCCCCTTCACCCAAGGATACTTTGTAGCAAGTTTGGTTGAAATTGGCCCAGTGGTTCTTGAGAAGAAGATGAAAATGTGAAAAGTTTACGACGACAACAACGACGACAGACAACGGACAAATTTTTATCAAAAAAGGTCACTTGAGCCTTCGGCTCAAGTGAGCTAAAAACTTAGAAATGAAATATACAGTTGAATAAAATGCTAAAAAATATTGAAATATACCGTTTAAAGATATTTATAATAATATTGAAATATTTCCATTTCTAATTTTTTTCGCTGTGATAACTGTTTGAAAGATGGGGGAAATTATTTCTTGATAATTCCGCCGGAATGTAAATTAGGCAGGTCGATAGGTCAGCAGCTAAGGTGGTCTTAAACGCATGCAAATCTCGTGCGCATCTGTCTCAGGAGGCCAAATATGCATGTAAATCTCGTGCAGCTTTCTTTGTGTTTGACGTCAGTGTGCGAGAACTATTGAAATTGGCATGGAAGTCCTCGTGTAATTTAAATCTATTAGTTTACATTTTTAATGTATGTAAGTCTCCAATTATATTTCACTATGAAATGGAAATATAAGGACTCCCTGTCTAGTTTTGAGAGTATGCCAGGGACTTCGCCCGTTATGCAAATTATCCCATGTTTCCCACTATTGTTGATGCCCTGGCATACTCTCAAAACTAGACAGTGATTCCTTAAATATACAGTTTAAAATACTTTTAAAGAAGTATTGAGACATACAGATAAAAATACTCACGCCCTGTGGGAAATGTAATGCTTTCTATAAGGTTTTGTTTTTCTTGTGAGTCCACCATCATGAGTCTACCTCCGGACTCACTACACAGCTGATGGGCGTATGTGTTATTGGCTAACCTCGTGTCTGGTTTGTAACATATAGAGTAAGTACTGTCGTAAATGTAGTTATTTTGTGTGCATCTGGAGGTTGATAAATCTAAAAATATTAAAAAATAAAACCGATTCTTTTTTTGTACTAGACAAGCAACTTTTGAAGTTAAGCAATCAAATTTTAAAACATAATTGATTTTTAAGCGGTTAGCTTTATGGCATGTGTCCGATTTTTATCGACACCGGAAACTGCCATAAGGCGCTACCTATCGACAACAGAAACTTCAACAAAGCCTCTACCTAGTACCTATGATTTGTTTCTAACACATATAACATATGTTAAATAAAATCAAGACTATAAAAACAACAATCTTTCGGTTCTTTAATTTTTTTCTGATTGTGTTTGTCAATGAAATAAATTTATAATTGTTGTATTAACATTTGGTGTCGAGATTAAATTTCCGTGACATCAGCTGATGGCGATCGGGCCCTGTGACGAAATTCGAAGTCAGCATGAAGTTTAGCTGATAACATTATCAACGGGTTAGATTTAAACTTTAGGAAGAAATGTATAGCGAGAAATATCATATTTGAACCCAATGCTACACGAAAACCAGTAGGCATTTCCGATTTATGTGTTAAATTGAAGCCTGAATCGAACAGGTGGTCAAAATTGCGTTGGACACCCTGTGTATATATATATATATAGAGGGGGTAGAATATTTCGATATTTGGCTGATTTAGAGACTTACTGATAAAAATTCAGGTGCCTGTGATTAATTATAAGGCACCCCTCATGAACAATAAATATTAGACCGAATTATGCTACTTGGCACAGGGAGGACGGGTTAATTACTGGCTAAAGGGGTTGAAGGTTATTACCGACTGCAAAACATCGGAGAATCTCTCGATCGAGTTTCATTTTCCAAAATATTAAGGCATCCCTTTAATTAACTTAAGTAATACTAGTACACGAAGAAAGCCTTTATATAAAAATACTGAATACATCTGTAAGTTGTACAGTTATGGATTACTTCCATAATGAAACGTTTGTTTTCTTCTCCTTTTTTCTCAATTGAAATTATTTAAAAGATGATAAAAGCTTTGTTTCCAGGGATCAATTCTGTACTCAGTCTAATTATTACAAACGATTTTAAACGATCACATTTTTATTAAAAAAAAAAAGAAAATGGGAGCCTGAAAATACTAAAATTAATTTTAAAAAATTGGAGAAAAAAATTTAATCGGCATTCGATCCTTTTCTAAAAATCAGCCGATATAAAATATGCACAGGAAAAAGAGGCATGAAAAATCTTGACGATAAGCGCAAATTGAAAATTATATCTAATGAATGATTATTTTTGAAAGTTTGCTAAATTCCTATGCAAGGTATAAGTTGTAAAAATACATTTTAAATTTGAATTTGTCCAATTTGTTAATTATCATTTTGAGCCTTTGAGAAGAAATAAAAATTAAAATACAGATGCTTACAGACATATTGATAGAAATTCGCATACTTGTTTTTAGTAAAAAAAAAAAAAAAACAACAATGTATTGCTTATGCAGAATATTGAAGAAAGTGACAATGATACCTAGGTAATTCTTGCAATGGACAATTAAATTGTTTGTTAAACACTGACTTTTAGTGAACCTTTGAATTTTTAAAATCCTAGTATTGATGGATTAAACAACAACTTTCCTTTTCAAACCTTTTTTTTAACAATATTTCATGAAAAATATTTGCCAAATACTCAGTATATGTTCGATTCGAACGTTTAATTGTATGCAAAGTCAATAATGTACATTTCTTAAAACTTCATTATCTTGTTTACTTGTCTTTCTTCCTGTGAGAGAAATAGTTCATAATATAAATAAACAGATGTACTCAGTATCTGTATCAAAATACAGAATGAACAGTGATCGGTCTCAAAAGAAAAACGGGTCCTTGAAAGTTCCGGTGCATAGGAGAAGTAAGCATCCCCAATGACAGGTCACACCTGCTGACCTGCAGTGAGCCTACGAAACTGAAGCTCTCTGAAATTAATTAATTCTCTGCTCATCCATCCGTTTTTCTCAGACTACCGAGCTAAAGATCTATGTACAGTACTCCAAATCAATTAATCTAAAGAATTAGAATTATCATTTTATTTTCTTTTTGAGTTGTTTGCTATAGCAGCCTTTACAGTTATCTAATTTCAGCACCAATAGAGCATGAAAGCCAATTAAATTTGCAACATCAACATGATTTTTTTTTTCGTTCTAAGCACTTTTGGACGCCACCAATGGAGACAATTAGGGGGAAATTTTTGAAATTGAACTTCTTGTCTTTCAAACTGAAAATCTCAGGTTGATATTTTGAAACAAACATTTGTGACATCAGTCTGGGATGTTATTGGTTATAGCTACAAAATTCAGTGTGTCTGCTTCTTCGCTGATGACACTGGAAAAAGATATGCATGCCTACTTCAATATCATCATTCAATGCATTTTTTGTTATTGTACACTGTACATATTCGATGAAAGCATGCTAACCGCTTTTCAGTACTTTGATTATTCAAGTTTTGCAAAGAAACTACAGATACAACGTATGATCTGTTAAACTTTTTTATAACTGTTCTTTTGTATTGTATACATTTAATATTTGTTGTATCATTTACTTTGTTATATTCTGTTTTAGTTGTACTTTTTAAATACGAGTAAATGTATTTAAAAAGAACGAATCTTATGATTAACATTTTCATATTTCTTGAAATAAGTCCATTCCGAAAAAAGATCAAAATACATATCGTATGTACCTCTGACTTCTGAGTAAGATATGTTTTCAGTGACAACAAAGATGTCATCTCCATTTGGTCCAAGATCTGTGGAATCGTAAAGCTGGCAGACATCGCCGACAAATCGCACTGACTGACACTCAGAACTGAAGTGGCAGGCCTTGAAACACTCCTCCCTTTTGAAGAAGTTCGTAGCAGATATAGGGGGAGGAGAGGTCCCGTAGAGGGGCACTTCTTTTATTTGTCGTTGAAATGTCGTTTGTTTGTATATGAAACATCGTACTACCAAAGAAAAATATATAACCTTGTTACTCCATGTAAAAAATTAAAATAATGAGCTGCGTAAAATAATAGTAGATTTAAGGATTATCCAATCCTCAGCCAGGGGGTTAATTATTTAATTTAATGCATTTGAAGCTGAATCGAATTTACGCGTGAGACTCATCTCTCACAGTTCAATACAAATCCTGAGAAGTATTCTAATAGTTCATTGTCAGTTCCTGAAAATGTTAGCTTATGGTCAATATTTCTCTTTGTTTGTAATATCCTATTTGTTAAAATCAATCACTGAAAAACAGACAAAATTATCAAACGTTCACCCTGAAGTTTAAAAAAACAAATTGAACACATGTAGCCAATATTTTGCAGCATGTGTGTGTGAGGACTATCAATCCATTCTTTAACTGGTAAATTCACGGATATTTTTGGTTAAAATTCAACTTAAGCAAACATTAGCAGCATAACACATGTTCTAATTCACAATAAGTTTCCATCCCTATTCAAATTTTATTTTCAGAAAAAAAGGATACAACACATTCTATGACCTGTAATTTCCAATAATTATCCCAGAAAAGAAATTGAATGCATGTATTAACCCTACTCATGATGCAGATTTATAACTTTATAACCTAGCTGCTTGCTCCAGAGTTATGTTAGAAAAAAAACATTTGTTGAAATTTTTAGGGGCGCCTCGTTTAATATCATCAACTCTTTTCTCACTGAATTGTTTCAATGGACTCTGAACTTGATCTCTTTTCGTTTTTCTCCATATTTCCTATTAAAAGCGATTTAATGACTAAAATTTCAAATCACAAGTATCTTTTAATTGTCAGCTCTCCGGTGTAACGTTGAATATTGACCCAAGTTGAAAATTGACCCGGGGGTCATTTTTCAACGTTGAATATTGAACCGGGGTCATTTTTCAACGTTGAATATTGAGACCAAAAGTCGTTGAATTTATACCCGGGGTCATTTTTCAACAGCTTGATAATTTTTTTTCTTACTTCTGATGATGTCAACAAGTTGAAAATTGACCCTGTTGAATATTGACCCCACCTCAAAGTTTGAACATTTTTTTTTAGCTGGGAATTTGTTTTACGGGATTAATCATGCAATATCACTTTATTTATATTTTGGTTTCAATTTTTTCCCTTTTCAAGAAAAATAGAAATAAACATACAGTATCACCCCGTGTATATATGTACATTTTGATCAGTGCACGATTTCAGTTATCTTCAAGCATGACAACATTATTTTTGAAGATAATTTCCAAAATCCATGGCATCCATAAATAACTACAAAACAACGAATAGGACATAAAACACAAATCTTAAAAATCTGCTGTCTAGAAAGTGAGCCCTATATATATTGATCAGGTGGGTGGAACATCCCATCTAGTCAAATTCAGTATAAAAATAACAAAATTAATAGCCCTAAAAATTAGAATGAAACACATCGACCAAATGATTCCAATGATAGGTTATATTTGTGAAAAAGAGCAATATTAATGCGACCATAGCATGTAAGTAATGCTGACTTTAAATAAATTGTTGAAATCCCTGTAACAATTAACTTATTTGTCAGTAGCCCGTCTCGGCTTGAAAATTGATCGCTTTCGGACCATAACCTTGAGAATGAGATTTTTCTTATCCTAAAAAAATTCTTATTCTATGCAATGTGATTCCTATTTGATTACTTGTTATTTCTATTCCATTATTTGTAATTTGTATTCGATAAATTGCTATTCCAAATACAGGAAACGTGACAATATGATTCATATATCATAAAATTTACATATTTTTTCTCGAAAGCACGCGTTTCGTATTCGATGTCATTAATATTTAAAACAATCGGTTGCTAGTCGCTAATTTTGTCATTCCTATTCTATAATTTTATCTTTTTTATTCGATAATTATTTGGTTTATATGCAATAAAGTTGTTCAAAAACATACAAGCATCCATTTCTATTCGAAACAAGATGTGTTTTTGAAACACAGATGCCCCCGTATGGCAACATAGTAAAGATTAAGCTTTTCTTAAATGCTAATTTAATTAATTGGTAACAAAAGTATAGGGTATTCTCACTGGAAAACAATTGTGAAATTTGAAAATAAGCCAGAAGTTTGAAAATAAGCCAATGTTAAAGTTTTTTCAATAAGTACAAAAATCTCCAAGGTCAAGGTAAAAAGGTCAATGTAATTGGTATCAAATGAAAGCTCTTGCAACATAGAATACTTATGGAGAGTATGGAAGCAATAGCCCTTACCGTTCAGAAGTTATGGCCAAGGCTAAATTTTTTTAAAAAGTAGGTCAAACTCCAAGGTCAAGGTCAAAGGGTCAAAGTTCTTGTTATCAAATGAAAGGTCTTGTCACAAGAGTTAAATATGTAAAGTATGAAAGCATTAGCCCTAACTATTTAAAAGTTATGGTCAATGTTTGCATTTTTTAAAGTAGGCCAGTATCAAAGGTCAAGGTCAAAGGGTCAAAACTCTTGGTATCCAATAAAGGGTCTTTTCACAAGGTTTACGCATATGAAGAGTGAAAGCCCTATCCCTTACCGTTCAAAAGTTATGGCCAAGGTTAAAGTTTTCTCACAAGTAAGGAAATCTACAAGGTCAGGGTCAAAGGGTCAAGGTTGTTGGTATCCAGTGAAAGGTCTTTCAACAAACATTACATATGTGAAGTATAAATGTCCTGGTGTCTACTGTTCAAAAGTTATGGTCAACGTACAATTTCTTAAAAAGTAGGTCAAACTCCAAGGTCAAGGTCAAAGGGTCAAAGTTATTGTTATCAAATGAAAGGTCTTGTCATAAAGATCAGATAAGTAAAGTATGAAAGCACTAGCCCTAATCTTTAAAAGTAAGGGTGAAGATTTGCTTTTTTAAAGTGGGTCAATCTCAAAGGTCAAGGTCAAAGGGTCAAAGTTCTTGGTATCCAATGAAGGGTCTTTTTACAAGGATTACATATATGAAGTATGAAAGCCCTAACCCTTACCGTGGAAAAGTAATGGCCAAGGTTAAAAAATTTTCATAAGTATGGAAATCTACAAGGTCAAGGTCAAAAGGTCAAGGTTGTTGGTATCCAGTGAAAGGTCTTTCAACAAACATTACATATGTGAAGTATAAATGTCCTGGTGTCTACTGTTCAAAAGATATGGCCAAAGTAAAATTTTAAAAATTTCATGTAAAAGTGGGTCAAACTCCAAGGTCAAGGTCAAAAGGTCAAATTTGGTGGTACCCAAAGAAAGGTCTTGTCACAAGGAATACACATGTGAAATATGAAAGTCATAGCTCCACTAAATCAAAAGTTATGGGCAAGGTTAAAGTTTTTGCGGACAAACAGACAAACAGAGAGACAGACAGACAGAGAGACAGAGAGACAGACAGACAGACGGACACGACAAAAACTATATACCCCCGAAACTTCGTTTACGGGGGCATAAAAATACGATTCCTATTCGATAAACTTCTCATCTTATTACATAATTGTATCTCTATGATCTACTATGCGATGTTTTTTTTTTATTCCTTTTTAAATAATTGCCATGATTGCATTCTGGGAAATATGACAAATTAAACTAGAATTGGTTGTAAACTCAATTAAATAGGAATGTAAAGTTTAACATTATTATCGAATATGAATCATTTTATCACATAGATTGATAAAACAAAATTTGAAAATATTGGAACGAGGCACAAAATTTCTCTCTTAAAGACTTAGAGACTAGAGATCAACATAAATTAAGCTGTTTAATATTAAATAAATGTGTTTTGTTTTATACATTGATGGAGTAATTAGAGGATTTACTAATTCAGAATACTAATTTCATTATTTGATAATATCTCGTATCAATTTTTGACAAAGATATCCAATATGTTTTAATATAAAGTACATGTAGATCCTAATTCAAGACTTTAAAGCATTCTTACGTCTCATCAATTACGGAACATTAAAAAATATTAAAACAAGTTGTAGTAATGTTCATACTCTGTATTATCTTTAATTGAGAAATCAATACTATTTGATGTCACTCACTTTAATGAAATTTTCTAAAAGAAACTCCTGCAATATCGCATATGATTACAAGAAAAAAAACCATGAAGTCAATATGCATTTCAGATTCTATAAATAGTAACTCAAGTCTTTATGCTGTTATACTTAATCATGTGATCAAGTTTTAGCCAATCAGAGAGCTTAGAATAAAAGGTGATATGACCTTTTCGTGCTAAATACTAGTAGGTGCTATCACCTATTCGAAAAGGTGATATTACCTATTTGAATTTCTTACAACAGTCATTAATGAGTGCTCCCTAATACATATAGATTTCCACTGGAACCAAGAAAATTCGGACTACCCAGTTTTCATGCGTTTTATACGATTTTCTTGTTGTATACATGATATATAAGTGAAATAAATTAATTTGTCAGCAAAAAAACTACAGCTGTTTTACGGGAAAAGGTGATATCACCCAATCGAATAGGCGATATCATTAATTCGAATAAGTGATATCACCTTTTCGATTTGGTGATATCACAAATCCAAATCAAATAGGTGATATCATCTATTGGAACAGGTGATATCACTTATTCAAATAGGGGATATTACTTTTTGCAGTAAATACCAAAACGGGGCCTCATATCTATGAATTAAATCACAGTAGTGAAAACCCAATCATAAATATGTGTTTTTATGCTGTTGAATTTTTAACAGGTTTCATGATCAAAATTCCACGACCCGGCTCAGTTTTCAACGGATTAGGGTCTAAATTCAACACCTTTGGTCTCAGTATTCAACGTTGAAAAATGACCCCCGGGTCAATTTTCAACCCGGATTCAAAATTCAACGTTACGCCGGCATTAATATTACAATTTATTGGGATCACAGCTCATTGCATTCAGTTTTTTTATCTATACTTGGTGTCTAATCGAAAAAAGATGTTTATCATATTTTTTTCTATAATTGGAAATTTTTAATCATTTTCCTAACTTTCGGCCATGCATCATTGGCTGAAGGTAAATGGGTAAAATAAGCTGGTAAAGCGAACATATTTTCTTAATTTCCTACAAAAAATTTATAATCCCGGACCATAAATCCACAATATTTCCAATTTATTACTTTAAAAAGTTTAGTTTACAAATATCAATTACGTGGGTTCAGAAAGAATCTGAAAATATTCTGAATTGACGCACGACTCGGATCGCACAAAGACAGACAAAATGGATAGTTACGGCTCACCCAATTTTGGGTGACCATGGAAATTGTCCCTGAAACCTTTCATTGATATTGATAAAACGATGATAGAATTTAATATATAAGTAGATAAAAAACTTACCTATGAAGAAATTAATGGTAACCACGAATATTGATGTAAGCTGCATAACTATCCAACTTTGTTTGTAAAATTACCCAACAAATCTGAGCGCTCTCAGACAATTAATGCTATTGATAATGAAGCACACAAGAGAAGCCTATATAATGCTGCGGTCGATCACATTCAAAATTAACCTTGCATTCTCGGAAAGCCGTTTGCATTAAACTAATTGGCAATGGCTATTTTATTTTAAATATTGACCTATAATATTTGTTAGCTCACCTGAGCCAAAGGCTCAAGTGAGCTTTTCTGATCACAATTTGTCCGTTGTCTGTCGTCGTCGTCGTTGTTGTCGTTGTTGTTGTTGTTGTTGTCGTCGTCGTCGTTGTAAACTTTTCACATTTTCGACTTCTTCTCAAGAACCGCTGGGCCAATTTCAACCAAACTTGCCATACAAA